ATTATTTTTATTATTTTTGATCGATATATTTCTGGATATTTTTTTCCTAATATGTATTTTATTTCTGAGTTTTCAACTTTGACTGAATTTTTACTTTTTTCGTTTTTTCAGTGTTTCGAGTTTTTCGTTCCTCGATTTTTAATTTTTCCTTTCTCCAATATTTTGATTTGCAGTTTCTAGATTCCACAATTTTCTGTTTTTAAATTTTTCGGTTCTTTACTTTCTCGTGTTACAATTTTTCTGAAATTTGAAATTTAAAATTTTCCGGCAATTTTTTGAGTTTCCATTTTAAATTTTTTAATTTTTAGATATTGCACTTTTGAATTTTTAGTTCTTTTAATATTTCGTGGCTTCACCTTTTACAACGGTTCTTTCTATTATTATTTTTAGATTTCTTAATTATTCGATAATTTCTTTTTTCAGTTGTTAGATTTCCAATTTTTTGATTTTTTATTTTGGCTGTTTCCATTTTTCGAAAAAACGTCTAAACACAAGAGCAACACAACAAAAAATCCTGCGTTGCAATTTTTCCAAATTTCAGTTTGAATGAACGTGTTCTTTTTGTCCAAAACTTAAGAAACCCAAAAATGAGAACTTGATTATTTAGAAGCTAATCAAAAAATTGAAGACATGAAAATTGAATTATCGTTTAATTCAAACAAAGGAAAATTAAAATATCTACAAATTGAAAAATCAAAGAAACGAAAAATTGGACATCGAAAAACTGAAAGAACGAAAAATTGAAAACTAGAAAGACTGTAAAACCGAAACGCTATAAAATTGAATAATCATAATTCAAAAAATTGAAAAATTCATGAGTTGATAAATAGCAACTCTGAAAAATTGTAAAATTTAGCAAAAATCGGAATATCGAAAAATTGCAAAATCGGAAAAGTAAAAGATTTTTAAAAACTCAAAAATGGGTGTTACTTATTAAAAAAATGCTGAGTCAACACAATATAAATAAACGCGGTGAAGGAAATTAAAAATTAATTAGTTAACAAAAATTTAGATATAAAATTTGAAAAATCCAAAAACTGTAGAATCGTGAAGATTTCAGTTTTAGTAAATTTGTTCTTTTTTAATTAAAAATTGAAATCTTGATTAACTAAAATAAGGAAAATTAAACAAATTAATTAATACATGTACCCTCAATTTAATCATAAATTTTATTTGAATATAAAAATTGAAAAACTAAAAACGGCAGAATCGTAAATTGAAAAATTCAAAAGTTCAATACTCAAAAATTGAAAAACGACAAATTGAAAAATCAAAAATTAAAAAAAAATTAATGCCTCATCTACTTGTCAACTCACAAGCCGCCCCTGGGATCATCTCATTTTTTTTTGTTAAATAAATTATGTTTGAAATATACAGTGTGATATGTCCTTTATTTATGAATTATGTGTCCACATTTGTTATACTTAGGTATACGAGTTGCCATTAAAAAAATCTGAAAATTTGATTTCGATCGAACTAACAAATGCAGTCATAATTTTGTTGATAAATATTTAATATTACTAACAATCTCCAGAAGATGACAGCTATTGAATTGATGCCCAAAATTTCAACAGCAGCAATGAATTTGTACTGTATTATTATTTTTATTATTTTTGACCGATATATTTCTGGACAATTTGTTTCCTAATATTTTAAAAATAAATGTGGAAAATTATTACAAAACCTATTTTTCGATTAGCAACTTTCTGAGTTTTCAACTTTGACTGAATTTTTACTTTTTTTGTTTTTTCAGTGTTCCGAATTTTTCGTGTCTCGATTTTTAATTTTTCCTTTCTCCAATATTTTGATTTGCAATTTTTTGAGTTTGCAGTTTAATTTTTCGAATTTTTAGTTTTTCGTTGCTTCACCTTTGAGATTTGCAATTTCTAGATTCCACAATTTTTCTATTTTAAAATTTTTTGGTCTTTCAATTTCTGGAGTTTTTTGAAATTTCAAATTTAAAATTTTGCTTTTCCCATTTTTGAAATTTTCAGTTTTCGATTTTTAATTTTTCATTCCCGTAATTCCATTTTAAATTTTTTGATTTTTATATTTTACACTTTTGAATTTTTAGTTCTATTAATATTTCATGGCTTTACCTTTTAGATTGGTTCTTTCACTTCTTTCTGTTATTATTTTTAGATTTCTTGATTTTTCGATAATTTATTTTTTCTTTTTTCAGTTGTTCGATTTTTTATTTCGGCTGTTTCCATTTTTCGAAAAAACGTCGAAATATAAGAGCAACACGAACAAAAATCCTGCGTTGCAATTTTTCAAAATTTCAGTTAGAATAAACTTGTTCTTTTTGTCCAAAATTTAAAAAATTCAAAAATGAGAACTTGATTATTTAGAAGCTAAAATTTGAAAAATAAAAAAATTGAAGACATGAAAATTTGAACTATCGTTTAATTCAAATAAAGGAAAATTAAAATATCTACAAATTGAAAAATCAAAGAAGCGAAAAATTGGAGATCGAAAAACTGAAGGAACGAAAAATTGAAAACTGGAAAGACTGTAAAACCGAAAAACTGTAAAATTGAATAATTATAATTCAAAAAATTGAAAAATTCATGAGTTGATAAATAGCAACTTTGAAAAATTGTAAAATTAGCAAAAATCGGAATATCGGGAAATTGCAAAATCGGAAAACTAAAGAATTTTTAAAAACTCGAAAATGGGTGCTATTTATTAAAAAAATGCTCAGTCAACACAATATAAATAAACGCGGTGAAGGTAATTAAAAATTAATTGGTTAAAAAAAATTTAAATATAAAAATTGAAAAATCCAAAAACCGCAAAATCGTGAAGATTTCAGTTTTAGTAAATTTGTTCTTTTTGAATTAAAAATTGAAATCTCGATTAACTAAAATAAGGAAAATTTAAAATGTCTACAAATTGAAAAACTGAGAAGTGCAAAATTGAAATGTCGAAAAATTGCAAATCAAAAATCTGGGAGACCGGAAAATTTCAAAATCAAAGTATAAAAAATGTCAAAAATTGTAAAATTGAAAAATTAAAGATTGAAAACTAGAAAACAAAATCGGAAAACTGTAGAAACAAAAATTCACAAATGGAAAATTTGAAAATCGAAATAAGTTTGTATTAAAACTTGAGAAACTGAAAAATCCAAAAAGTCCAAAAACTGAATAAACGATCTACAAATTTACAAATCCAACTATCTGTAAAATCGAAAAATTGTAAATTAAAATGAAAAGTTGATACATCAAAATTTTGAAAAAGTTAAAATTGAAAAATCAAAAACCGATGTGCGTTGTTACCATTGTCGAAGTGAATTAATACATGTACCCTCAATTTAATTATAAATTTTATTTAAATACAAAAATTGAAAAACAAAAAACGACAAAATCGTAAAACTGAAATATTCAAAAGTTCAATAATTAGAAATTGAAAAAACCAAAAGCTGATTTTTGTCAATTTTTTTGTTATGTAAATTACGTTTGAAATATACAGGGTGATATGCCCTTTATTTATGAATGATAAATAGTTATTTAATAGTACTAACATCCTCCAGAAGATGTCCGTCACTGTACTGATGCCCAAAATTTCAACATGACATTAAATGTACCATAAATTTGTTGCCAACCTGACAAAAAATCATAAAAAAATATAGGGTAAATGTGTACAAGAGTGCGAATATGTATAAGAGTACGCACTGATGATTTCTGCTTATTAGTGCCATCTGGGTAAGATGAGGTTATACCATTCAGAATTTAATGCTAAACCTGAGATAAAGGTGCAAAAGTGACCTGAATATAGTTTATAGTTTGGTCGTACTGACGATTTTATGTTCACACGTTGTGTGGATGTAATTTTTACCGCTCATAGTTTTAGTTTTTTGTAAGGTACGTACCAGTTCTTTTATTTTACAGTAATAATTTTCATTAGTTGTAACTTTTAAGGTGTCGTTATACACTAACAGTTTTACACTTTCTGTCCATCAAAAGCTTTTAACGTTGAAAACATTAGGTTATGTACAAATGTACAAGAGTGCGCAGCGAGGTATTGTATAAGAGTGCGCAGCGAGGTATTGTATAAGAGTGCGCATTGCTTGCAATACGTAGGCTAATAGTCTTGGAGATACATATCATACGATAATGAATTATTTAACTCTACTACTTTGTACTGCTTCTCAAGTTGTGTGGTGGTGGTTATGGTGATTTTTTTTTATTTTTACTTCCTGAGCGTGTTGTAATCGAAACCGTCGACCGACTCTCTATTTTTACGTTTTCTCGAATTTTCAAGGCCGCTAGAGTACGAAGAAATAGGTCTCCCATTTTATGTGGAGTCTGTAGTCACTTATTCCCATTTATTTTCACCTTAGAAACAAATATTTTTTCATAAAATGTAATGCACGCTCATAAGCGTTCAAATGCGCACTATTGTGCAATGAACTGTCTAAGAGTGCGCATTTACACATCTTAACAAAAATTGAAATTACTCTTAAAATATAGTGATCTTGGGACGTATAATTAAATATATCTGATCTCTGAACATGTATATAACGAACCCATATCATAAAATTTGTCTATCCAAAAAAATTAAAAAGTTGTTGACAGTTTTACACTAAGTGCGTACTCTTGTACACATTTACCCTATAATTTGTTGTGCTGCACCCAGTATACCTACGTGTTTGTTAACAAAGTTGATTTGTACGAATTTTTTCATTCCCATAATTACACAAGGATTACACAAAAAATTATTCGTGTAATAATGATTTCTGGAAAACTGACAAAAGTTCAAGGTGATTTTGGCGTGTAAACTTTTATTATCTTATAATACCCCAACAGTTTTTTTTAAAATTCTTTTTTTTAATAATACAATGTATCATACATCAGATATTATACAACCGTGACTTTATCCACCTCAATAATCTTGTACCTGGTAAAAAATTTGGGAACATTTCCACAACATCTGCGCGCACTGAATTAAAACCTGTTGCTTCAACTATTCCTCTGGTTTGCTGTAGTTGAAGTTACCTTTACGTAGACGTAGAACACAGACATTGTTAAAAGAAAAGGTGAATGTTCGGAGTCAAGTGCGGAGTGACAAAGGCATAATCGAAAATGTACAACAAAATAGGTAAAAAGCATGTATCAAAGCTCCCATTTATTTCTCAGCTGTTAAAGCTCCGATTTTCCGGTATCCCATTAATAAAATAGCCCTATTTCTTATAACAATTTATTGAACACGTGCCTCAATCCGCGGTTATCTTGTTTTTGTTCCTGACAGGACGCAAAACTCTTATCAATCACGTCGCTAATTATTCCAGAACTCCAGTAACATGAAATTTGTTGGCGTTTTAGCATATTGTAACAGAAAATTATCGTTTTGTACGTAAATAATATTAAATTAACAACACAGGTTAGATTAATTATGGCAGGTTGCTGGTATATCCTTAATCAAACAAAGGGGTCCAGGCACGAATTTGATTTATTTTGTCCTGTCAACAACCGCAAAGAGTGGCCACAGCTCTTGTAAGTATAACTCCGACTTTGTTAAATTTGACCAAATTTGCAACTACAAACACCAGAATTTGTTAATGCACTCTGTATAAATAAACAGCTCCTGTAAATGTGTTAGCACTTAAACTTATTGTTTGTTTTGACGAAAATCTCGCTTGAGATTTTTCATCACTGTGTATATGTCACATTTTCCGTGTCGCTATTTACTCTACTTTCATTAAGGTGACATCGAAAATCACCACGTGATTTTATTTGAGTTGGTGATGTCAAAGTCTCGTGGTTCGCACTTTCCTTCACGTGGGGATGACCACTCACGGGTTACAGTTAACAAAATATTGACAACTTTTAGTAGAACAAAATTAAGAAATTCCTGATATCCGTTCCTACATAAAATTAAGAAAAATGAAAAACGTGTTATAAATCATCATGTGGATTTTATATTGTTTTATAGGTGCAACACAAGTTGCTGAGAGTACGGTGACACCAGAATAATTGCTCTAAATAATTCCGATTTCGCGTTAATTAGCCAAATCGAAAATAAAAAGCTCTCTGCCATTTTTTCGTTTAATAACACGTGTTTCTGCTATTTTATGACCTACGTAATAGCAACAACCATAATTAATTTCCTTTCTTGTTATGTAATGTAATTCACGATGTCTACCATTTTTGTATTAGAAAAGGCAACAAGATGAATAAGAAGCGAACTTGAACGAATGGCGGCGTTTCGCAAAGCATGCCCAAATAAATAAAACGTCTGCTGTTAGCAGCCACTATAATCAATTTACTAATTACTTGAGTGGCAAGTTTGTAGTTTGTTTGAATTTAAAATATTTTGGCTATTTTTGTATTTCCATTTGGGGAAAAACGTGAGTATTTTGTTAATTTTTTAGTTCGTGATTAATATGTAAATAAATAGTTAACTAAATTCCACTTCAGGCAGTGTTTAAAACGTTACGTCACAATTAGTCACTCGTTTTTTTCCATTATCCAAAAATTTATTAAACAGAACTAAATAATTATTTTTCTTCTCGAGAATGGTGCCAATATTTCCTTATTATCTGGACAGTGGAAAAAATAAAAATATAAATGTCACACTTTTTTTGTTTGACGGAAAACCTACAACGATAAATTTTTTATTTCTCTATTTTTGTTCAAACTTGCCTGAAATTGGCTACAACTTTCTTATTTTTTTTTTAAATCGCATTACTGGAACCGGTTCAAAAATCAAAAAATACAGGCTGTATAATATCAAATTTTTCATAAAATATAAAAATTTCGTGTGTCACTGTAGCGCTTTCCAATTTATTTCGTCGGTTTATGTAACAATTATTGAATAACTGCTAATATGTAAACACGTTTTAATGATTTGTTTTTCCGGATTATTAAATGCTTTGATGAAATAATGTGAAGTAAAACAGCATTTAATTTTCTATATGGTGCTTACTAGTTTCGGTTCTTTCTGAATTTTAGGCTATATTTTCAAGATTTTGCTAACGTACACAACTAGACCTAATCGGCTGATAAAAGTCGCGTTTAAAATAAATTTGCACGCTTAGTGATATTAAAAGTAAAGTGAACTTATTGCCACATTAAAATAAGGACCAAATATATCCATCGGCGTTTAAAAAATGTTTTTTAACACACATTGACATTACGTGATTGAAAATATTGAAAAGAATTTAATCGCAAATAGTTTTATACAAGGTCGATTCAATAAATTACGTGTGAGTAATTAGTTGCATGCACATTTAATGCTTATTTTTGTCAAAATTCATGTATAGCTTAGATTTACAAGGTCAAGTAAAGGTTTCGATCACTGGGATAAGTAGTGGCTACTTAAGTACGTTAGTACTTAGCGGTCCGTCGTTAATTTCTCATAAACATCCAGATCTTAATTTAATTGTAACTGGACACTTAAATTGTTCACATTTTTCTAGAAGGAAAAAAAATACAATTGATCTGTACATAGTTCTTTATGACTACCTGCATAGCTTGAGGTCCTGTGAATTTAAAGAGTAAACACTTCAAGGATAATGAATGAATCATAATGATCTTGATACGTGCACATTAAGTTATAATTTAATCTTGAATATCTAAGCAATTAAGTTCATCTCTATAATGATATTGATATGTGCACCATCATTTTGGGTTTTAATTTAATCTTGAATATCTAAACAATTAAGTTCATCTCTGATCAAAACAAATTCATTCTTACGTTGCAAAATCCATCGATCAGTCATCGAATTAATCTGTCATTATTTTATGTCATTTGAGGACTCTTAAATGCAATCTTTGTGATATTTTTAAATTTGGTGACGAATTTTGTGATGTTTGTTTTAACAGTAACAAATTATCTAACTTAGCTAAAATGTGCATTCAAAATTCCTCCATTTTGTGTCCCTGTGGCGCGGTATTTACAAAATTTCCTTTACTGGTTGTACGTGGTGAAGAAAAAACAGGTATTTGAGTAGACGAAAATTGTATTAATTGTGGACCCAAATTCATTCAAAAGTAATCATTTAAAATTGTTTTTTAGTTTGGTTGCTTCATACTATGTTTTTTAAGAAATCATTACGTGTCCTTGATATGTGTCCGAATTTGACGATAAAGATATAGGTTGTTTATAATGTCACACTCTTGTCAATGACAGTAGTAACACTTAAATTTACATGGAAATAAACATCGTTACGTCAATGGAAGAAATTTATTACACCATTGTTCAAGTACTAAAAATAAATCCAAAAATTAGAAAACTTATTTCGGCTTAGTTAAATTTAGAAAATTATCAATGTTTGAAGTTCGCAATCAACTAACAATGCACATAGAAAGCATGTTGATGTTCCAGGCTACAGCCAACATCGTATTTTATATTTCGCAGAACACCTTTTCAAAGCCTTTTATAAACAAGAATTTTTTTAATTTCATCGTTCGTATTTACCTCTGACGCAAACTTTTACAACACCTCATAAAACTTAAATCAGAGTAGAAAATCTCGTCTGCGCATCAATGATTGAAGCCCGATTTTTTCGCCTCCATAACATCTTGAACCGTGTGACGGGTTTTATTAAAATTTATCAGTAATAAACAATTGTTCTCTGAAGGACAACGCTAATAAATAGGCGCATGTAACGAAACAATAATTATTGGACTCTATTGAGACCGCTGCTTGAAACCAGTATTTCACATACCACTGCTTTCGCGAGCGCTAAACCAACACATCGTATTTATTTTAGAAACCGATGGTGCGGTAAAAGGATTAAAAAAGTAATTAAGAAAAATAAAATATTAACTTAAGTGGGCCCTCCGCAACCGTATCATTAACAAAACAATGGAAGCTAATAAAAGACAACTGGAGATGAAGCTGAGCGAAGAAGGTTACACCTACGTCTTCGAGACCAAGGGCGAGATGGGGGCGAAACCGCCGTCGAAATTTCGAAGAAAAGTGTGGCAAATCGTTCCTTCAGTATGCGGTAAGAGGTCAATTTACGACAGCGCAAGCAATCATTTTTGTGTTTTAGCGACGTTGATGTGTTTGCCGTTTGGGATTATGTTGGGCTGGCCGTCGCCGAACTACCCTACGTTGACCAAACCAGTGGACGAAGGGGAGTCGACGACAGACCCCATAGCGCTTATCCGGATCACCATGGACCAATCTGCAATGGTTGCTGGATTTCTGATGGTGGGTAACACCGCTGCGACACCTTTTTCGTCCTTCAAACGTCTCGGGGCTAAATATGGTGTCCTCGTGGGGGCCACTTTGATGACGATTGGTTGGATCATGATGTGGCAATCAAGAGACATCTTTTACTTACTAGGAAGCCGCTTTTTAGTCGGAGCGGGGAATGGTTTTGGCACGGGTCAGTTGAAGTATTACATTGGTGAGGTCTGTCAAGACTCCCTATCCGTGTTCTTAACCAAACAAATCAATCTGTACGTTTTTGCCGGGCTCATTTTGGCATTCGCTTTCGGGCCCTTTGTAGATTTTAGACAATTCAGTATTATTGCCTCGATTATTTCTGTGCTAGTGTTGTTCCTGACGATTTTTCTTCCCGTACCGCCGCGAGAGTTAGTCAAGAGCGGCAAAATTAAAGAAGCTCATAAACTAATATCGTTTTTGAGTCCGCATCTGAACCCGGATGACGAGCTGATCAAAATCAAGAAGAAGGCTAATACCGTAGACACAGATTTAAGTTATTGTGACGTATTAAAAAAGTCTAGTCTGCGTAAAAATTTGCTCATTTTTGCTGTTGCAGTATTCTTTCAACAGTTCTCAGGGGCTCCCGCTACCTTAGTTTACACTCAAATGATTTTTGCGAGTTGTGGGTGTCCCCGTCCTGAACTATGCGCTTTAGTCTACATATTTGCGTTTTTTCTGGCAAATGTGTACGGGATTTTCTGTGTTCCTAACCACAATAAGAAACACGTGTTGTTGTTTTCTAGCGTGGGAGTGTCGTTGCTCATCGTAGTCCAAATAATAGTACTTGTCGAGAACGCCAACGAAAAATTTTGGAACTTTACTTCCTTAGTGGTTATGCTACTTTTCATTGTAGTTCACACTATAGGTCTAGGGAGCGTTCCTTTTAGTCTAATTCCGCAGTTATTCCCCAAAGAAGCGAAAAAAGTGGTGGTGCAGTTCTTCGTCATGTTCCACTCAATGCTAGCCCTAACTATAACCAAAATTTTCCAAGTCATGTTCGACCGGATAGGTCTCTTCGCCCCGTTTTGCCTGTTCCTAGCGATTAGCACCTTTTCAATCGTTTTTGTGATAATTTTCGTGCCAAATAACCACAAGTCTACCAAAATACGTGAAGTCTTAACTTAAGTCTCAAATCTTTATTTGTCGGTTTGTTCTTACATAATTATACAAACAATAAATATTTAGTTTTTTAATTGAGTTTTATTGTCACTCACTAAGTGCTTGGCAAACTAATCACTAATCTGTATCCTCTCTTAGTAGCTTCCGCAGTTTAGCTTTCGTTTCTTTGGACTTTTCTATATTTCTCTGTCTTCGGGCTAGTCTTTCTTCTTTTAAACACTTGATCATTTGGTGGTCGAGGGAATTACAGAAGCCGAAGAATTTTCCAACAGGGTGATCCCGGTGACACAATTGTAATAAAGTGATGAGTTCGTTGCACTTTTCACTGTGCAGATGTGCTGATAAGTCTGTATGCATTGCTAAGATTAGTCAGTTTACTGCTATTTTAGTAGCTACTGTTTGATGTGTCAAACAAAGCGACATCTGGTTTCTAAGTACTCAAGCTATTACAGAGCACTGTAAAAAGATTTTGAGGTATTTAACACTTCATGGATAGGTGGAGCATCTGTCAGTAATAACTTATGAAATTCGTTTGGAAAATTTCCATTCAAAACCGAATTTTGTTTCAACATATAAATAAGAAAACAGCAGAAAATTTGAAAAAACTGGTATCTAATATAATTAATTTTTAAATTACGATTTTTGTTACATATTTATTATTGTGGTAACTCAAATCTCCTGTAAAATTAAGAAATGTGCATCAAACTTTAAAACCTGTGAAAAATTTCAAGTTTGTTTTTACAAAAAATCTGTCCAAAATGCAATCAAATCGTTACAAAACACACAAAAAATGCTCAAGTAGTTTAGTTTTTACGATGGAGCTACAGTGAATGATGTAACGATGGTGGAATTTAAGTTTCCTTCCCCGATGAATTTACTTTAATACCACATTTCTATGACCAAAAAAATTGCTGCATACGCTCTACCACGTTTTCGGAGAATAAATGTTCAAATTCAAGTTGTAAGAAAATATTAAAGCTTACATTACCTAATGATAATAATTTTCAAGCGCCTTTTCTTCAAAATGGATGGGTTTTTAAGACTAGTTTAAACATAACTAAAGTAAAACCATGCAGAACTTTAGGCATGTCTTTACAAAAAAAAAATAAGCAGAGACTGAATAAGTAGATTTCCTGCCACGTGTCTTACAGAAACATTTCCATTATTGCTATTAAATTATACAAACATGAACTGTGGATTTACAAACAATAAAACAAGATTAACACATGTTGGCGAATTCGTTGAAAGTTTTAACAATATTTCAGACTAGGAAATCGCTAATTAATGGGTCTTGCGCTAATTATATTCGTTGAACCGAAATATCAAAAAAACTGGTGCAGTTCATTGCTTTTACAAAACTACAAGGTGTTTTATTTGTACGTTTTTAAGTATTAAATAATTATATGTACTTATAACACTTTTTAAAAAAAGTTGTTTCTTTGTACAAATAATCCATTGTCATCTCTGGTTAGGCTGGATGTATTTCTGGTGTCGCAGGGATAATTGCATTACTAAGTCATTTACTAAATTGTTTACAAAATATAACTCCTTGTTCTTTACCACCAATCAGACTCATGTAAAATAAATATTTGTAAAACTGTACACAAGGCGGTTATAAAACATCGTACATCTAGTTGCCTTTGAAATTTGCGAAACTTTGCCGCCTCGTTGCGACGATTGATAATGGTAACTAGCCGTCACAAGTGTCAGCTATAAATACATGTGTATGTAGGCAACCAATAATTCATTCAGCTCGCTATATATCGCAAATAACGACAAATTTTTATGTTAATTATGACAGTCATCCCGTTCTAGTGGATATTATATTTAGAAACAAATAAATAACAGCAAAATTTGAATAAAATAATGTGGTGACCGAATTTAAATCAAAATTTTCGCGCTGAAATTAATTAAAACCGGCGCATAATCACATTTGAGTAATTTGAATTTGAAAGAGAAAAAAAATTCAATCACAAAAAAGAAATCGTTAAATATAGGCAACCAGGTGCACGGTAACGCTTGCTGGATAGTTGGACAATTAGTAGCGCTAGGGGATTTTAGTTAAAGGGTTGGTTGTTAGTGGTTGGAGCGACAGTCTGAATGTGTTTTTGTAAACACGTGGTAAGAGCTAGTTTAAATGGTTTGGTAGTTAATACAAGGGAGGAAGCCTTTGTTTAACGACAATCAATCGTAACTGCTATGACGACAACCCGCGCGGCTAATTCTTGCGGCTTTTAATCAAAAAAACATGCCATCTTTCAACGCGGAACACGTGCTGTAAATTTGTTTTATTGTTTGTAAATTCACCAATCAAGTTAGTTTTCTTAATCGTCAGCTAGTGTTAACACGATTTAACAATCAGGATTATTTAAATAAACCACTTGCTAGAAGATTTCATGAAATTCATTTAAGTCAGGATAATAATTCTTTGTTTAACAAACTACGAATAAGTTTCTGGGTGCATATATGTAAGTGTTACATTACAACACTTCTTAATTCTTCACACAAGATTGCTAATCGTTCATTTCCGGCAGTTAAATTAACAAAATCATACTGCGAACTGGCGGGGGGTTAAAATAATGTCTTCCCTTAGGCGGTTATCATCGTTATTATCATTGTTATCATGATCACATCACTGAGGCTTGTCCTCACAACGCTACAGATTGATTACTTCATCGAGGCATGTCCTCGTAACGCTAGTGATTAATAACACCATCGAGGTATTCCCTCGCAACGATAAAAAAATTACATCACCGAGACGCTTTTTCCTCGCAACGATGAATGGATATTTTTGTTGTTGGGGTAACCAGTTCGAGGGATTCTAAACTCTCAAAGTAAATAGTTTTTTTTTTAAATAACCAATCACTTAGATCATCATATAATTTGACAAATGTAAACTCTTTGTTTGAATCGTTGATCAAGTGTGGCAAATATTAATCTCATGTAAATTTTGTTAACTTTGCAATTTTTCACCTCATAGAATATTTCTCTAATCTCATAATTTTAACTTCAGTAATTTTCTTTGTTGTATAAGTTTAATTGAACGTAAATTTCATGTTCTTCAGTTTAACCTCACATAATATTTCTATTTGTACAAGTTTATTTCACACCAGACCAATTGTTTCATAAATCTTTGCTAAGTTTTGTTTGTAAATATTTTGTTGATGAATGTTTCCATCGTATAAATTATTTGATGTCCAATTTTAATCTCACATAAGATTTATTTGTTGTTTAAAATCCCACAGGATTGTATGGCAAATTTAAATGTTGTTTATTGCTCTTTTGAAACTTTAACACTTGTTCAACTGTTGTTAATGTCAGAGTCATAGAGATTGAACATTTAAAATGAAATGGAGGTTAAATAACACAGAAAACGTGGCAGAAGCGAAGTGCGGTTCTTAGTCGAGCTGGCGAGATTCATCGCGTCACCTGCACAAGTCCACAGGTTTGGTAACAGCCTAGTTTCGGACGGCATGTTCGTCCTAGAGACGTGTAATGTGCTGTTTGGGTAGGCTTTGCGATAGATAGAATCACCGTCGAGGGGGGAGAACAGCCCCGACCGGTAGCCCCAAACTCCGCTTGTGCTAGAACGCCCCAGGGTACTTTTGTTGTGGTCCTGTTAACTGCTGTAACTTTAAAATTTGACCCCACACGCCCGTAATAACTTGTGTATTCGCATCCAGTTACTTTAAATCAGATTTTGCTTTGTTTTATTAAATTTGTGACATTCAAATATTTGCATTGATTCCAAACAAATGTATAGGATTTTGCGTTTGTTCGTTTTTCATATGTGTATGTCTGTCAATTCGCGAGTGTCTTTTCTTTCATATTTTTGAGGTGTTTCATTTGAAATGTAATATGTCCGTGAATATACGATAGGGGGTTTTTGGGGCTGAGGAGGGGTACCATTTTAGCCCCTCCAAAAAAACTTTTGTCTATTATTTCTTGCGTTCTCGACTCACACGCAGTGTATGCTCACTTGTATGAAAGAACGTCTTCCCGCCACTTTTCAAAAAAACAAAAACACACAACGTAGATTCCCATTTGTTAGATGATCACAGCCAACGCCAAATTTTGAATTTTTGAATTTTTCGCTGGCCTTTCAAACTTTTTCAAGGTCAATTTAAAAGCGGGAAGTTTGGGTTATCACAGTAAAGATGCGGTAACGAAAATAAAAAAATTAAAAATTTACAGTCTGTTTTAGACTTTTTTTACCAAGTATTATTAAAATAATAGATTAGTTATAACTTATACCAGTTTTTGAATGCAACAGTTCGATTGGTTTGTTTTTCCAAAAACTAGAACTTAAACATTTATATTTATTGTTATTATGTTTAATTAGGCGGACCTCAAGGATTTTAGTTATATTTTTATGTAATACGGGACCAAACACTTGATGTATGTACTAATGCTATTGTATTAAAAATTTGTAAAAAAAAGACTGTGTTATGTTGTTAGTTCTTTGTTCAAATAAAGTTTTTTTTCATAATAAATTGTCTTTTAATGTCATATAACACAAAACAAGAAGCAATTAATAATTAGATTTCGATTTTTGGGGTAGAGCTCAAAAACTCAAGAATTTATTTCTCAGTAATAGTAAGTAAGTAATGTTTTATTGTGTTAAACTAAAAGTTACAGTCGTCATAAAAAAAGAATATACAAAAAGGTACTTATATTTCTATAATTACAAACTGAAATTGTACTCTAAATATTCATTAATGCTATAAAATGCATTTGCCATTAAAAATGATTTTATTTTCCTTAGAGCTTCCTTAGATGATAGTTGTCGGTAACTTAACGGCAGCTTGTTAAAAAATAATATACAATAATAATTAATAGCATTTCTACAGCGCGAAATCCGCCAATATTCAATCGACAGGTCAGCTGATCGCGTGTGATAGTCGTGAAAGGAGCTTAATGTGGGAAAAGACACTATTTCCAGGAGGATATATTTTAAGCTATGGTAAATATATAGAGATGGTAATGTCAATATGTTTAGTGTTTTGAAATACGATTTGCAGTCATCCCGGTATCCAAGATTTGCAATGATTCTGATCGCCCTTCGCTGAAGTCGAAACAATTTGTATATTGCAGAGCTATGTCCCCAAATTAATATGCCGTAAGTTAGGTGAGCTTGTACTAAAGCGAAATAGGCAATTTTTAAAACCTCACAGTCAACATTGTTCGATAAGTTTCTCAATAAATATACATTTCTGGAAATTTTATTTGCTATATAATTCCCGTGCTCTTGCCATAATAGCTTTGTATCTACCATGATCCCTAAGAATTTGTTTGTTTGATTATTGTTCAAGACTGGACAATCCCTCTTCAAACTAAAAATCATATCGGAGGACTTATCTTTGTTCACACAGAGTCTGTTTGCTAAAAACCAGAGTTCAGCTTCAGTGTGGATGTTTTCTAGACAAGGGGCGATTGATTGCATAGAAGTCACATTATTACTAATAACAGTATCATCTGCAAACAGTGTAGTTAAATAATTTGCCATAAAAGAAGGCAGATCGTTAACATACATTAAAAATAACACAGGTCCCAAGATGGAACCTTGCGGAACCCCGTAATTTAATTTCATTGCTTCAGATGAAACACCTTCAACATTTACAATTTGAATTCTATCCGAAAGATATGATCGCAATAATTTTATGGCAGTAGGGTGAAAATTGTAACACGAGAGTTTGTGTATTAATATGTCATGTGACATACAATCAAAGGCCTTGCTAAGATCTAGAAAATAAGCTGCAGTATAGCCTTTATTTTGAAAAGCCATTGTGACATTGTTAATGAAGGAGAGAATGGCCTTTTCAGTTGACAGACCTTTGCGGAATCCGTATTGACTGTCAGAAATTAGGCAATGAAAAGTCAGGTGTTTGACAATTTGGTCCAGCATCGCACTTTCAAAAATTTTAGAAAAAATAGGTAAAAGTGAAATCGGGCGGTAATTGTTTACGTCGTTGATATCCCCTTTTTTATGCACAGGTGCAACAGAAGCTACCTGTAAACATTTCGGAAAAACTGAGTTCGCTATGCATATATTAATTATTTTAGTTAAGGGTGGAATTAATATATCCTTCACTGATTTAATGACTTCCACATTAAACCCGTAGATGTCTTTACTTCGTTTGTTTTTCAACTTATTAACAATATCACGAACTTGTACCTCACTGACTGCGTCGAATGAAAAAGATACGGATGTTGCACTTTTTGATGATACAATATTTATTGGATCTACGCTAGAAAGAGGTAAAGAATTAACTAAATTGTTAGCTACGTTACTAAAGAAAAAATTGAATTGATTAGGTGATAAATCTGTAGTTTCCTGAATTGTTCGCTGTTTATTTCTATTAATTAGTGACCACATTGCTTTAGAGTTATTTTGATGATCTCTAATAAAATTATTGTTAGCATTGATTTTGGCTTTTTTGATGGATTGCGCATATCTATATTTATAGTCACTATACAGTGCTTTCAGTTGTAATGTGCCATGTAACTTGTAAGCGTCATGTATTAAGCAAAGTGTTTCGCGCATTTTTTTTAATTCAGGTGTGAACCAAATTATATTGTGGACTTTGCTTTTTTTACAAAAAAGTTTACGAACAGGAAACGATACATTAAAATGAATTAAGATCTTGTCCAGAAACATAGAGAATATCTCACAAGGATTTTTCTTTAGATTGATAAATCTCCAGTCAACTTGATCTAACAACTTATAAAACTGGATCTTCCCTTTTTGCGTGATAGGCCTTACATATTTTGGAACAATGGAGTTATTATAAATGGGTTTCCTTACAGTACATTTTACAGAAATTCCTACATGATCTGACAATGAAACGTTGGCAGGTCCTACACAGATTTTTTCACTGCTAAGATTGGTGAACACATTATCAAGGGTGTTATTCTTACGAGTTTTAAAATTTACAAGAGGGTGTAAACCATAGCTACACATCAAATTGCAAAAATATAATACTTTTGCATGTTGTGTACCAAATAGCAAGTTAATGTCGCCACCTAGTATGATGTACTTGGATGTACCATGTAGTTCATTGAGAGTGTTTACTACAGTGTCGATAAATTTGTTAAAGTCACCGTTTGGCGAGCGATACATAGTTATTACTATCACATCTACGATTGGTATAAATACAGCACATAATTCACAAATTTTTTCAACAGAGAACGAACTTACATTTTCTAAAGAGTTGCAAAGTATATTTGGATTAAGAAGGGACATGACACCTCCATGTTGATGATGAAGCCTAGAGAAGTGCGTTTTCACAATGTAATTATCCAAGTTCATGATACTAGATTCCTCATGTTTAAGCCAATGTTCTGTAATGCACAGGCAGTCGTAGTTTTTATCATTTAAATAACTTTCAATTGATGGTATTTTATTACGGAGGCTCTGTGAATTCCAAAACAGAATTGAGAAGCAACATTCACAACCTTCTTTGCACTTGAAAGAACCTGTGGCTACTGCGTTTTGGTGGTACCTGACTGATGAACTCATATCAACATTGACATGCAAGGATGACGCTAATTTTCTTCGAGTATTGTGTTCGTGGCTGTTCTCTTGTCTAAAAAATGTTGTACTGAATTGTCCTTTTTTGGGAAATAGAACCTATTTATGACTACTCCTTTTGGCCATAAGGTATCTTGCAATATTTTGTCTTTTTCAAAAGATGGAATTTTTAACTTGAAGGATGCAGTTCTTTCACTTCTTTTTAAGTTTAGTTTCTCGATTTCGACGTTAACAATTTCATGGAGGTGTTCTTTAATGTCGTCAACTGTTGTGTCTGGGTGAAGGCCAGTTACGAAGTAATTGAATTTTTTTTCTATAGCTCTCAAGGAACCCGATGTTGTTCCTTGACCTGCTCCTGCAAGAAGGTTGCGAGTTCTTTTCTTCTTTTTGTGTTGCACTTCAGTAAAACTGACGGTCCCTTCATCAGCTACTTTAGTTGTAGGTACGTTTTCTTGTTTGGTATTCCTGGTTTCATCCTTAGGAGGAAGATGAATGTCTGCAGTAACTAATGATGTGAAAATTTCATGATCATGTTCATCCGACGAAGTTTCATCTTCATCGTGTAACGTGCTTATCTTAGTAGTGGTAGTATCAGTAGTATTATGTGATTTAGACAAACGCCTGTGGTCACTTCCTCGATGTATGTTTATATTATGATAATCAGCTGGTTGATATAGTAAAAAGTTGTCATTGAGTGCTACAGTAGAATTTTTATCCGTGGTTTTTCCATTACTTTGTTGTACAAAATATGACGATCTGCGATTATCAACCGTATGATTAGTTTCATTAGGGGTTTTAGCAGTATTCGCTTTTAATTTAAAATTCTCTAATTTTAGGGCACTTACATCTTTTTGTAGCTGATAAATTATCGTATTTTGAGTTGTAATTAAGGTCTTACAACTATTAATTTCCTCAAGTAAAGCAGAGAAAGCCACTTCACATCCACAATTAACAATTGTTTGGCTAAAAAAATCCGCTAAACACTGATTCACAGCACTTTGAATATCTGTCATAACAGTAAGTGGGGCCTTCTTCACCTTTGGGCCCATGGTCAACTTTCGTAGATTTTCGTGAAAATAATTAATTAATATGGCTACGACGATTTAATGTGACTTGCACCAGACACCGTCGCCAATTACATAATTAATAATACAAAATTACACGACTAACTAGACACCGAAAATGTAATAATGAATAATTCTGTTCGTGTAATCAATGCAATCTGCTTATTTAAGCAGCCCCACGTTCCTTCTGGAGAGTTCACGATTACTGCTTCGAGGTCGTTCTGGAGTACGCCACGGTGACTTCCAGGCTGTTTTGCTGCAATGTATTAGAAAATCCATAGACATCGTACGGGGGCAAACCAGCTTTCATAACAGTATGTTAGTACTTAGCAACAATGGAAAAAGTTTATTACACCATTCAAATACATACTAGCAAACTAAAATAAATGTAAAAATTAGAAAACTTATTTCGGCTCACTTAAATTAAAAATATTATCAATATTTGATATTTGCCATCAACTAACAATGTAAGTATAATGAACTGTTGAAGTTCTACCCTGCTGCATTTTTTTAAAGCCTTTGATAAACAATAATTTTTATAATATTAATATCTATGACGCAAAATTTTACAACATGTCATAAAGCTTAAATCAGAGCCCGATTTTTTCCATAACATCTTGAACCGTGTAGCGCGTTTTAAGAAAATTTATCAGCAATAAACAATTGTTCTCTGAATTATAACACCAAAAAATTGGCCCATGTGACGAATCAATAATTACTGGACACTATTGAGACAGCTGCTTGAAACCAATCTTTCACACACCACTGCTTTCGCGAGCGCTAAACCAACACATCGTATTTATTTTAGAAACCGATAGCGCGACAAAAGGATTAAAAAAGTAATTAAGAAAAATAAACTATTAACATCTGTGGGTCCTCCGCAGACCGTATCATTAACAAAACAATACAATCTAATAAAAGACAACTGGAAATGAAACCGAGCAAAGATACGTCTTCGAGACCAAGGGGAAATGGACACCAAACCACTGTCGACATTTAGAGGAAAAGTGTGGCAAGTCGTGCCTTCGGTGTGCGGTAAGAGATGGATTCATGACAACACAAGTAATCATTTTTGTGTTTTAGCGATGTTGATGTGTTTGCCGTTTGGGATTATGTCGGGGTGGCCGTCGCCGAACTACCCTACTTTGACCAAACCAGTGGAAGAAGACGATACGATGACGGACCCCATAGCGCTTATCCGGTTCACGATGGAGGAATCTGCAATGGTTGCTGGGTTTCTGCTGATCGGTCATACCGCTGCCACCCCTTTTTCCACCATCAGATGCCTCAGGGCCAAATATGGAATCGTTCTAGGGGCCACTTTGATGACGATTGGTTGGATCATGATGTGGCAAGCCAGAGACATCTACTACTTACTCGGAAGCCGCTTTTTGGTAGGAGCGGGGAATGGTTTTGGCACGGGTCAGTTGAAGTACTACATTGGTGAGGTCTGTCAAGACTCCCTATCGGTGTTCTTAACCAAACAAATCAATCTGTACGTTTTCGCTGGCTTAATTTTGGCATTCGCTTTCGGGCCCTTTGTAGATTTCAGACAATTCAGCATTATTTCCTTGGTTATTTCGATCCTGGTGTTGTTTGTAACGATTTTTCTTCCAGTGCCACCGCAAGAGTTGGTGAAGAAGAACAAAATTGACAAAGCTCGTAAACAGATATCGTTTTTGAGTCCGCATCTAAACGTGGATGACGAATTAAGCAAGATCGAGAAGAAACTTATTAGCGAAGATACAGATCTCAGTTATTGTGATATCTTGAAAAATTCTAGTCTGCGTAAAAATTTGCTACTTTTTGCTGGAACAATATTCTTCCAGCAGCTCTCCGGAGCTCCCGCTAACTTGGTTTATACGCAAATGATTTTTGCCAGTTGTGGGTGTCCCCATCCTGAATTATGCGCTCTAGTCTACATACTTGCGTTTTTTGTTGCAAATGTGTATGGGATTTTTTGTGTTCCTAACCATAATAAGAAACACGTGTTGTTGTTTTCTTGCGTGGGGGTGTCGCTACTCATGCTAGCCCAAATAGTAGTACTTATTGAGAACGTCAACGAAAAATTTTGGAACTTTACCTCCTTAGTGGTTTTGCTACTTTTCATTGTAGTTCACACTGTAGGTCTAGGGAACGTTCCTTTTAGTCTAATTCCGCAGTTGTTCCCCAAAGAAGCGAAAAAAGTGGTTGGTCAGTTCTTCGTCGTACTCCACTCCCTGCTAGCCCTAGCCATAACCAAAACCTTTCAAGTCATGTTCGACCAAATAGGTCTCTTGGCGCCTTTTTGCCTGTTCCTAGCGATTAGCAGCCTGTCAATCTTTTTTGTGATCATTTTCGTGCCAAATAACCACAAGTCTACCAAAATACATAAAGACTTAAGTTAGTATCCGATCTTTATTTGTCGGTTTGTTCGTACATAATTTATACAAACAATAAATATTAAGTTTCTTAATCGAGTTTTATTACTAGTCACTAATCCTTGTCCTCTCCTGGTAACTTCCGCAGTTAAGCGTTCGTTTATTTGGACTTTTTTATATTTGTTTGTCTTCGGGCTATTCTTTCGTCTTTTAAACACTTAATCATTGGTGATCGACTGATTTACAGAAGCCGAAAAATTTTCCAATGGGGTAATGCCGCTGACACTCTAGTATCTAGCTAATAACAGAGTAGTGGAGTACCGCTAAATAAAACACAAATACATGGAGGACACAAAATCTTTTATTCCTCCACTGACAAAAAAAACAAAAAAAAACTGCGACTAAGTTGCGCAAGTTGAAGACCTCTTAGTTCTCAGCCACAAAAAAAACTTGCCTAACTTGAAATGAACTCAAATTGAACGTTCTGGATCAATGCATAATTAACAAATAGTTGAATATCACAAATTTAATAAAAACAAAGAAAAAATCTAAAGCAAAGTAACTGGATGCAAATAGAGGCACCAGAGCGCCTCCTCGTGGATGCCTATGACCCCAAATTTAGTTTAGAACACAGCAAAATCACCCGTGGGGGCGTTGTGGCACGAGCGGAGTTTGGGGCTCCTGGTTGTGGCTGTTCTCCTACCCACGACATGCCGCCCAACACCCCTCTATCTAACGAATAAACGGGCCGCGCCAACAGGCCGTCACGGTCGCAAATTCGTGGTTGGAAATCCCGACTGCTCCCTGACTTCTATTCAAGATCTGCATCTTTTGTGCAGATGACGCGACCGCCAGCTCGGCAAGGAACCGCGCACTCCGCTTCCGCCACGTGTTTCTTTGTTATTTGCCCTAATTCCCTTTTAAACTACAACCGAACAAGTGTTAAAGCTTCAAAAAGAGCAGTAAGCAACATTTAAATTCGCCATAGATTCTCGTGAATTTAAAACAGCAAAGAATTCTTATTTAAGATTAAGATTTGACATCAGACAATTTATGACGGAAGCATTAATTAACAAAATATTTACGCGGTTGAAATAAATAGCCAGCAAAGGTTTGTTATTGTTATTATTATTATTATTATTATTGAAAAAGATAACTCAACAGGCTATAGCCCACTTACTGAGTTACCAAACCCATATCACTGAAAAGAAGTAAGAAAAAGAAAAAACTAAAAAAAAAAGAGATTAATAAAGACAGTAAAGAGAAAGTTATCCGTTACTAATGGACAGTAAGACGAGGAAATTTCATATCTGAGGAAGCTCAAACGTTCTATTATTTCTTATATTCAATTTAGGTATATGGATGTTTATTTGACTTAACAATTGAGGACAATCAATGATAGTGTTTATTATGTTAAATAAAAATATAGCTGCGCTTTGACAAAAGACTGACCATTTCAAATCTTTCAAGTAGAAGATCGTTTGAATACCCGCATGGAGGGTAAACTTCATCGACTAAATAAGCAACATACTTTAGAAATCTTCTTTGTATTTTTTCTAAGCTATCAGTGTGAACATTGTAAACTGGGTTATTGCACAATACAGTATTTTTAAGGAGTCTATATCACGTAAGTCTTTCGAGTTTCTTACTACAAAGCGGAGAGATTTATAAACAGAAGATCACTAATATGGTGCTTAAAACTCAATTTTGGATCAAATATAACACCCAGGTCCTTTACACAATTAAGTACTTTTAACGCATTACCTGACATAGAATAATCAAAATGAAACATACTTAGTCTTCTAGTGTAAGTCATAATATGGCATTTGGAATAATTTAATGGTAATCAATTACTCTCTGTCCACTTGTCCACAAAAAAGTCTGGTGTGAAGTAAAACGTGATCAGACAAAAATAGTACGTGAGGTTAGAAACTGTAGAGCAATTCAATTTAAATTATACAGCAAAGAAAATACTGAGGCTAAAATTGCGAGATAGAGCAAAAATTGCATGGGGTGAAAAATTGCAAAGGTAACAAAATTACATGAAGTTAATATTTGCCACACTTTACCAACGATTCAAACAAAGAATTTACATGATGTTAAATTATGCCACACTTTATTAATCGTTCAAACAAAGAATTTACATGAAGTTAAATTATGCCACACTTTCTCAACGGCCCTTATCCCAGAGTGGGACAACGTTAGGTTAATTTAACTGCCGTAAATGAACTATTAGCAATCTTATAGGAGGAATTAAAAATTGGTATAATGTAACACTGAAGTATAAGCATTCAAAAACCTTATTTATAATTTGATAAACAAAGAATGGGTCCTTACTAAGTGACTAAGAGAATCTCATAAAATCTCCTAGTAAGTGCTTTATCTGAACAATCTCATGACTGTTAAATTGCGTTAGAACCTTAGATCATCCCTATGAGAGCCTGTGACGACATCCTCCTGTCACACATCTCTCTTGTGCATACAGGTATTACAATGAAGCTATCCTTGCCTGATCACTATTTGAATTTTGCGCGCCTAAATTTTAGGAACTATGTATGAACTAACTTCGTACGAAAGATGTTGACAGCTTGATTTTATAAATAATTCACGGTAGATAACGAAAGGAATAGTAAATTATTGGGCAGCGATTCTTATCCGTTATGAATACATTACGTAAAATAGGATCTTTGTTCTAAATTCTAAAATTGTTTTTCTTACAAGAACTTGAAAAAGAGGTTAGAAGAAACATCTGTCAAAAGCGATTTGTTGCGGTGGTGCGGTACAAGAATGGAGGTGAAATAGACATATACAGACGAAATGCATATAACAAAGATGAAGATGTGGTGATCACACAAGGATAGCACTATACTACTCCCCTTGACGTAGAAAACGACAACAGATAGCTTCATGTCTAGTCACAGCTTTCAGTTTGAGTATTGATATCTATTTATTATATGATCTAAGGTTAGAACCAGTAACGATTAAAATCCTAACATGACCTGTTAATTTACAAACAATAAAACAAATTTACATCACGTGTTAGCGTCGATCGAAAATTCGCATATTTCTACTTGAAGAAATACAGCAATAATTAGCTATGCTTGTTGGGGATACTGTGGCGTCGTCATCGGTTCGATTAATTTTCGTTAAACACAGACTCCTCCTTTTTATTAACTACTAAACCAACTAAACTTAATCTAGCTTCCTTACCGCGTGCTTATACTTACACCCAACAAACAACAGTGACGCATCTCACCCCTCTAGCAAATAAGTCAACTTCTACCAACCCTCTCACTAGATACTTTCCAAATTCCCTTAGAGGAGCTACCAGCTACCAGAAAAGAACTAAACTTGCACATGGTTGCCTATGTTTAACGATTTTCTTCATTTTTTTTTTCAAATTCAAATTATTCAAATGCAATTTCGCGCCGTTGTTTGTTTTTCAGCGCGAAATTTGAATTCGGATTTGGTTACCACCAAACCTATATCAAGACTTTCCAACAATAAAAAATTTACATCATGTTAAATTATGCATTAATTCAAGTTGATGATTTAATCAAATGAAGCACTTATGTAATAAACATAGTAGGCGCATATTAAATACCATCAAATTCAAAATAGCTGATTAGGGAATAAATGTTCAAATTCAAGCTGTAAGAAGATAATTAAACCTGTAACAAATTATTACAACACTTTCGTTTTTGATTCCACTAGTTATACTCGTTGAAGGGGGACAGTCGCATCGAATGCGAGTCATTTTTCTTTAAACATTTGCCCCTTTTGTGAAATCACAAACAAAAATTTATGTACCCTCTCTGTTTATACACACGTGATTTTTAGTCCCACAGCAAAAATGGCGTCGAGACCCTTAAAAACCATCTGCGCTGTCCTACAAATTCCTCAGAACTACCAACCTAAAGGGCGGCGTTGATTTTTTTAGCGCGACATTTAAATTTACGAATCGGGACACCACATTACTTTAATCCATTTGGTTTTAAAAATCACATATCTTTCTTTAATAACCAAAGTATTGCCTGTTAATTAATAATCATAATTGACCATAAACTACAATAGTAAAAACAAAACAACGATGATAATGCAAATATCAAAAAAGCTGCTTCATTTTTTAATTCTAAAAAATTACAATGTGCTTTATTTTGTACGTTTTTATGTATTGTTAAGAATAAATAATTGTGTTTATAACGCTCTGTGAAAAAGGTTATTTCTTTGTACAAATATTTCACTGTCATCTCTGGTTAGACTGAATATATTTTTAGTGTCGTGGGGATAACGTCGTAGTAGTGTCATTGCACTGTGTTTCTATTTACTGAGTCATTTACTCTTAGATAGTTTACAAAATATTACTCCTAATCGCACACTTTATAAAACTGGTTACTTTCAACGGTTAATATTTGAATATTTTATTTTTTATTTAATAGTGTATACCACAAAACACCACAAATGTACCTAAATACACAAGGCGATTATAAAAGGTCGTATATCAAGATGCCTTTGAAATTTGCTAAATTTTGCCGCCTCGTTGTGATGATTGATAACTAGCCGTGACATAAGTTATTTGTTTCGGTGTTTTCTTGGCTGATAGATAGGCAACCAATAATTCATTCATCTCGCAATATATCTCAAGGAAACGACAAACTGTTATGTTAATTATGACCGAGGCTTTCCAAGACAAATTTGAGGTGCCATATGTTATAGTCATCCCGTCCTGGAGTATATTATATTCAAAAGCAAATATATAATAGCAAAATTTGAATAAAGTAGAGACGTAGTAACGAAAACAAACGTCTTATCAGACGTATTAATCATGAATGGTAAAATAGTAGAGTCTACATCGTCATGGTATTTTTTTTATCTTCGTTTACCTTCCGCTCGAAGATATTAATTGTGGTTTTCTGTTCAAGGTTGCTCATAATTTTTGAAAATAACGAACCATTGACTTAATTCGTCACATAGGCATGACATAATTAGCCATCAACATTTTTTAAATTAATCTTTAAGATGAATCG